GTGTTATGTCAGATACCCAGAGCAGTCAGGGTCACAGGCGGTAGGATGCAGAACGGTGGCTTCCAGGGGCTGGGGAGGGGGATGGAATGTTGTTTGATGGGCATGGAGTTTGGGAGGATGAAAATGTTTGGGGAGGGATCATAATGATGGCTGCACAGCAATGAGAATATAATTAATGTCACTGAACTGAATAATGGTAAATGTTATGTATATTTTACTATAATAAAAAATTCAGAATATATATTTTTCTAAAAGTATCCAAGAGGCCAGAGTAGCAAGGATTTTAGTTAAGATTGTCTGGGAAGACTCCTTTGAGGGGAAGGCGATAGTTGAGTAGAGACCCATCAGAATGATGAGGCAGCAGGGGGTGACTAGGGAGCGATTTGGATTGTGTTCTAAGCACACCAGAATGCCTGTGGAGGGTGTGGGTCAGGGAGGAACAGGATCTGATTTCCCACTGGAAAGCAGATGGGAAGGGAGGAAGCTGCAGAGCCAGGAGATCAACTGGGCTGCTGCAGTCGGCCAGGCCAGTGACACAGTGGCTCAGGAGATGCTAAGATAATGCGGAGGTGGTGGAAAGTGGCTGGCCTGGCATTGTATTTTTAAGGTAGAGTCATCTTGACTCACTAATCATTGGATGTGAGGTGTGACGGAAAGAGAGGCGTGAAGGGTGACATCTCCGTTTTTTACTGAGCAGCTTAACAAATATGAATCCCATCTACTGAGATGGAAATGGCTGGGGCAAAAGCTAGTTAGGGAATAATAAAAGGGAGGCAGCCAAGAGATGCGTCACCTAGAAAGTGAACTCCCCAGCCCGAGTTTAGCAGAGTGCTAGTTCATAGTCGCCATTTATCAGATAAGGATGAGTCAATGAATGGATGAAACTGAATGAATATATGGACGGAGGGAAGGAGGAAGATTAGCTCTAAATCTTACAGAACATGAAGGGGAACCGTTGGCAAAGTGATACAATGATAAGGACCTCAGGCTAGAGTTGGGGACAGCTGGGCTCCAGTCTCAGAAAATGTTTCCAAACCTCAGATTACTCCCTCTAGCTTTTATCCTGACACCTCTCCCTTTTCCTTTCCCAGTAAGAGATGGGCTCTTAAATTTTACCATCCCAGCTGTCAGGCCACAGCCCTCTGGTCCTTTGATATTAAGAGCAGAGCAGATAGCCCTTGAAGCGGGGAGCAGCCAATCAGTGAGCTCCTCCAGCAGGGGCAGGCAATCAGTGAACTCCTCAGCTGCTGGGTGGAGCAGGTCTGAAGTCCCTGCTGGGGGCCCCAAGCTCGTCCCCAAACGCGCCTTCCGGGCTCCCAGCAGGCTCAGCCTCAGGATCCCCACAGGCCCCTCCAGACTGGTCCCAGAAGACCAGTTCCCCAGAGGGCCTGGCTCCCTACAGACACGGGTTTAAGGTAACAGAGGACAAGAGCAGTTTACAGCACGCGTCAGCTGGTCTTGAGTTGACACACCCACTGATTTCTCTTAGGAGCTTTCAGGCTGGTTCCCTCTGAGACCCCCGGGAGGAGGGTAATTAGTGAGAAGAAAAAGGGGGGACGCACAATGCAAGATGAGAAACGCCCATGAAAAACACCGCGCAGGGACGCAGCCTGGCTGACCAGGCCGCTGCCCCGACTAACCGCTGTTGTGCTGGCTCTCCACAGGATGGAGGGTACAGGGCATGCCCATCCCAGTGCCCTGGCCCAGTTCTCTAATGGAGAAAATTGCCCCCTCGACCGCCATCTGGACTAGCTTTCCACAGAACACTGCTGTGACCACTGCGGCCCCAACCAACGGGACTCACGGCGACGCGGTGCTCTCCGCCACAGCATCAGGCTCCACGTCTCCACTGCCCAAGAATGTTTCCGCAGAGCCCAGAGAAGAGGAGCCCAGCAGCCCAGCTCCCAGCTGGAAGGGCCCCCACACAGACCCCACTCCTCCCGGGCTCCAGGCAACAAGCAGCGGGAGTGAGTTAACAGCCACCCCCGAGGAGCGCAGCTCAGGCACCCCTGAAGCCAGCGTGCCGGCGACAGCGCCTCGGGTCCCGGCTGAGCCGCCCACACTGACCTCCTCCCAAGCTCCGACCTCATCACCGCCTTCATCCCCGTCAGACTCCCCACTGGCCATCTCGTCTCCCTCCGTCACCACCAGTCACAGCCCCACTGAGACCAGTGCCCAGCCCACCAGAGCGCCCACTGCTCCGGAGTCCCCCACCGAGGAGCCCACCTCTGGCCACACACCCACTTCTCATGCCTCAGTGGGGCCAGTGCCCGAGGAGAGGACGTCCCCGACTCCTGCGTCCAGCAAAGCGATGTGCGAGCTGATGGACGTGGAGACCACCACCACCTTCCCCAGGCTGATCATGCGGGAAGTGGAGCACGCGTTAAGTTCAGGTGAGTTCAAGGCCATTACAGGTTCCGGACTGTGCTGTAATGTTAACAGTGCAGTCCAGCTACCCCAAGTTTTGGAGAGCAGGACCCAAGCTGACTTAAAATTCACAAGAATTTGCACAAAAGTGCAAACTTTACTTTTAGTCCCGTAATGATTTCCATATAATATCTTATTGCTCGTGGCCAGTTGCCTTTTTTTGACTTGTCTTCAGATGATGTCACAGGGAATCTAAGGGAGCAAAAGTATATCCAGAGGATTGACAGGACGGAGAGGCTTTGGGTCAAGCTTTTTAAGTTTTCAATTTTGGTTCCTGACCTTGGGAAAGTCACTTCATCTCTCTGTGCTCTTGTTTTTCCTCATCTGTAAAATGGGGATGAAATATGTTCTCTTTGTACAGATTAAGTGAGATGGCACATAAAATGCTTAGAACCGTTCCTGCAGCACAGAAAATGCTCAGGAAGGGTCTGTTGCTATTATTGTTCTGATCAATATTTTAAATAGTGTTTACTTTTTGGAAACTAGTCCAAGTAAGGTGGGGGTAAAGATAGCTTGCTTACTTTTTACCGTCACTGATGGATTTTGTGGGGGGAAAAAAATTTTACAGGATATCACATTTGTTTCTATTCCTCCAGCAACACAATAAATTTAGTATTTCTTTTCTCTCCATTCGGCAATCTTGGAATTTATAGTGGAGAGAAATAATCTTTTCTAAGCCCACATGCACTTGACCTCCACGTGAAGACTGTAAGATTTAGGGTACTGGGCAGGAAAAGGCTTTCATGGGAGCCTTGGCCACTTGACTGAGAACCAGGGAGGTGAGAACAGCCAAAAGGAGAAGGGGTGAGTAGAGCTGCAGCCCCTTCCGAGTGGTCCTGGGAGGAATGTGGATTGAGAAGGGAATATTCCAGATAGAACTAGAATATTCCAGACAGAACTATGCATGGGCAGCTGAGGTCAAGCAAAAAGCTGTCACTAAGGAGAGACTCACGTCTAACAACTGATAAACAACCACTATGGACGGAAACTGTGCTAGACAGCAAGGTAGGAAGAGAGAGAATTAAAGTTAGAAAAGACAGGATTCCTCGAGGGAAGAGCTCACAATACCATGAGGCAGGGGAGGGGAGCCTTTTCATGTTGGAAGCCTGCATTAATTCAGCTGGAATCAAAGAAGGCCACATTTGAGAAACTTCAATTAGATATACTTTAAAATGTACGTATTTTGTTTAAAAATATGATTTTTATGTATTTAGTAATTTCAAAAAATTGAAAAGCATTTGTTAATTCTAAGTTAACTAACTTTTAAATGATGTTGTTGTGCCTACTGCAGTGCTTTGTTAGAAGGCACTAGAGTGCTTGGTTGCAGCACAGAGGTGCCCAGTTTCAGGCGATCCTCTAGGGTGTCAGTCATTTGTGACCTTAAAAGCATCTAGATGTGAGTTAGGTAGGAGAATGCAGATTTTCAGCAACAAGAGGTTGAAAAGCAAGAAATCTTTTTTCAGGCATGTTGCAAAGGCATGGGTATACGACCACATTTTTCCATATTTCAAATGGATCTTTCTTCGCATTGATGACTTAGATAGATCACTGATATCAAGTAGGCAAAGCTGAAATGCTCATTTGACTGTGATGTCATGATTCTCAAAGTCAGTGAACTTTTCATTGTATTCTCCCATTAATAGTTCTATAACAGCTGTGTATTCTTCACATGATCCACATATATCATTCTGCTTATCAATCACCTTTGCCAACTAGGGAAAATGTGTATTCTAAATTTCCTTTTGAAGAAAACACTTTTTCAACATGATCGGATATTTTGACATATGTCATAGATAAGACTTAGTTTTATCTTGCAAAGAAATATTCAAGTCATTTTGATTTCACATATTACACAAAATGCTGCATTTCTATAGAAATCTTATTTCAATAATTCACATTTCCAACTGTGTTCTTCATAAAATGTAACGAATCTGTTCTTTGGCGATAAAATTTTGGCTCTCACCTGTTCTGTGATAGCCAATGCCCTTTAGAACAATCGGGCAAATCCACACTAGATACCTACTTCATCCTGCTATTTTAACATGTTAGGAAACTGACCATGCCATGTTGCATTTGCACAAATACAGTTAACAATACTTGTAACTTATTCCAAGTTGTCACCTAAAATAATAGCTTTAGCACACAGACTTTGCTGATGCAAGATACAGGAAAAAGAAATGTGAGCAGCTGGATCTGTTAGTAGTTTTTTTGTTTGTTTTTTCTTAATCTGTGAAATAATCCCTTCATGTTTTCCTGTCACGGAAGGTGCACTTCTGTACATACACTTACTAATTTATCAAATTCAGTGCAACTTCGTGACATTTATCTTAAAAGTTGTTGAAGATATCTATTCCCTGTGTTCTGTTCACAAGAGCACCCAAAGGGAGTAACTCTTCATAGCAAAGGAAATAACAAAGTGTGAGCTTGGCATCAGCTAGCCTGTCTATTACTCTTTCTACAAGGGCCCTAGCTTCATGGGTTAGATTATCCAAGATGGTTCTATTCCAATATTTGGCTTATTTTCTTAGGCCATGTATCTTAATTTCCTCAACTCTAAGACAGCAGCGTTAAGAGGCACAAAATTAGTGGCAGAGTTAAGTCATGAGCTTTTGTAGTTCTCAGGAATATTGAAAATAGCAAGTCAGAGTGAATAACTGAGTGCCTGGGGGGCTGGGAGAGAGGGGTGCAGCAGGTGGATGATTGGGAGAGAGGGGTGCGGCAGGTGGATGGCTAGCAGAGAGGGATGCGGCAGGTGGATGGCTAGGAGAGAGGGGTGCGGCAGGTGGATGGCTAGGAGAGAGGGGTGCGGCAGGTGGTTGGATGGGAGAGAGGGGTGTGGCAGGTGGTTGGATGGGAGAGAGGGGTGTGGCAGGTGGTTGGATGGGAGAGAGGGGTGCGGCAGGTAGATGGATGGGAGAGAGGGGTGCAGCAGATGGATGGCTGGGAAAGAGGGTGCGGCAGGTGTTACTGCAAGTTACTGCATGTGTTACTGTAACATCCTGGTAGCTGAGGCCCCTCCATCACTTTCTGCGTATGTTACTGTAACATCCCCACAGCCAGTCCCCTCCATCACCTTCTGCATGAGGCCCCTCGCATGTTTTACTAGATGCAGCCAATCTCACTGCTACCTACTCACTACCTCTACTACACATGCTCTTTCAACTGTTCAGGACAGTTCCTGCTGCCCTTCATATCTCACATTCCAATCGCTTCCACTGTGAGTCAGAGTAAAAAGTTGGTGCGATGCCTGCCATGCACACAGGATCTGAACGCACACGACCTCTCTGCTCTCACCCCTTCCACTTCCACCCTCTCCCCCACCGGCCATCTTGCTGTTTCTCAAACATACTGAGGGGATGCCTGCCTCGGGGCCTTACTCTTACTGTTCCCCTGCCAGAAACAGCCTCCCTCCTTTAAGGCTCCCTCCTTTGCCTTAGTCAGGGCCCTGCCGGCCGCCTCCTCAGAGAGCCTTTGCCCATTCCCTTCTCTGGATATTCGCCCCATCACTGCTGATCCTTGCACCCTGCTCTACTTTTCTTGTTATCACCTAACCATCATCTCATTCATTAGATGAGTCAGTGTCTGTTTTCTGCCAGCTCCATGCAAACAAGGCCTTGCTCACAGAGAAAGATGCAGGAACAGGTCCAAACCCTGTAACAAGTGACACAGCAGACCCCCAGTGACATTTGTTGAATAAATGAACAAGTCAGTCAACGAAAATTACCAGTTAGGGAAAACATCAGATCTCTCCCAGCCCTGGTCTCCTCATCAGTGAGATGGAAAGGGACAGTGCCCGCAAGTTGGTGAAGCTGCAGATGCGTGGAGATGGCAGCACGGTGGCTAGTGAGCGTCCACCCATCCAAGGCTGTGGCTGCTACTTCACCATTATTTATTGTTAACACTGTATTACTAGTTTGCTATTGTGATTGGCATTATTATTGTTATTACTTTTGGCCCACCATTTTTTGAGCTTCTTTAATGAGCCGGGCATCTGGCGAAGTGCAGAGGAGGGAGCCATAGGCAATGTGGTCCCTGCACTCTGGACGTTACAGTGGAGCAGGTAGGAGGCACACGACTCACAGAGTAACTCACAGCCTTGGATCCCAGGCTGTGTAGATGGAGTGGGAAGGGAGATTTCAGAATGAGTCTTAGAGGACCCTGGGTAGCAGGGCAAGACAATTCGCTGTATTGTCACCAAAGGCTTCTGATCAGAGGAAAAACATGCTGAGAATTCTTATATAGTGTAAGGCTGGTCACGTGCAGGACTGTGTATGGCAAGCTGCAGCAGGCTCGGGACTGGAAACGTGGGCTCCAGTTTATACCTGCTTTCCAGTTGGTCACGGCCACATACTGATATTAAGCAAGTCACTTAATTACTCTAACTTTAAGGGCATACTAAAGCCAGCCCAACTCCCAGAAGAGGCTCCAACTGTCAGATTTTATTTTAGGTGAAAATTGTTCTGAATTCTTGTCTCTGCTTCTTCTGTTTGTCTCTTCTGGCTTACTTTTGCTACCTAAATGTTAATCTGGTTTGGAAATTTTCCTTTTGAAAAATATATGCCAAGGGAATAAAACCAGCCATTCATCATTATTATGTTGTCATCTGGGATACATCACATATCCTAATTGTCTCAGTGTCATGTTTTATGACACTCAGGGTCTCTGTCTCCAAGGGTTTTCTGTTCCTATTTCAAACACTTTCACCCGTCCTGTATAACCAAAGTGAAGTGGGTGCCGCCCTGGGAGAGTGGGATTTGGGTGACAGGCACGGCCGGCATCACTCGTGAAGCTATTGTTGGCTTGTTGGTAAATTGATTTAGAATATGCCTGACTCCACATCCACATTAAACTTTTATTATAATCTTTCAACTCAAAACAGCATGTCTTTTTAGTTACAAAAATAACTTGGTGAGGATGGATCAGAACCCTCCCATAGCCTTAATGAGAAATGGACTTAAAAGTCCCA